CGCAGCCGAGCGGTCGCGGAAGCGACGACGACGTTGGCTTCTCCGAAGCACCCACGCAGCGGTGAAGCATGTGAATGAAGCAAGCCTTCCATATCATACTCTTATAAGCCTATATAACTGCGCGGCCTGCAACGTCCAGCTTGGAGCGTCTATATATTGCGATGCAGGAACGACGACTATCGAATGCATCGCTACGAGGAACATCAAGCATGAATGAAAGCAGCTATACGTTTGGCGCCTGCGTCGCCTAGCTGTGCAACGAAAACTGTGCGTTGACTGATCCAGACAGGAGGTTAGACCACGTGGTTGGGAAATTTCCGCTGCACAAAGACGTCTCGACGAGGAGTACGGAAGCCGGCGACGCGCGATAAGTAGAAGCACGACACCCACCCGACAGAACTTCGACGCTGAAATGATATGGAATGCGCTGTAGTCGTTGTCGATACTGTACATTTGCGATCACGGCAGACCAGGTCTGGCGTCGCCTGTACCGTGGAACGGCGAGGGCAGATTCGTAGGTCTGTCCCACTCTAAGTTTCAGTCCACCTTATCAGCCTCGTGGAGGGTGTTGAGTCGTCTTTGGAAACCACAAGCAAGTGGATGAAAACGCGAGATGGTATGTTATCGAGCAGCACGTTCATTGTCCCAAGTGTAGTTGTTAGTGATGTCTTTCGCGAGCAGCGTCTTCCTTGGAGAGCATCGGGTGTGGTTTGGCCAGCGCCGAGACTTCGTCGCAAATCGCCGCAGCCAGAAGGACCCCAATGCAAAAGATGAGTGACGAACGCAGCATGGAGCTGTGTGTTTCACAGAATGAGGAGAGGAATTGCACTGCAGCTCGCGACTGTTTGTAATAGGTACTTGTACCGCCCCGGTACGGGATACTAAAGAAGATGATCCTCGAGCCAGTGAGCAACGCCAGCCTCCAACACCCTATCAACAAGCTTTTTGGTGGGGCGCACATATCAGCTTGGAATATTAGGTATCGAATCTCAAGCACGCCTGGCGCGAGGTATAATCATCGAGCACGCTTGAAGTACAACAAAACCCACCGTGCAGGCGTGTTGCCGCCATGTCCACATCCCTGCCATCATCAGCCATCGAACACGACGGGAGCGCTGCCTGGGAGGATCAGAGAAGAGCTGATTGGGCCGGCATGGGCTTCTTCAAGAGTGTTTTTGCGCTGCCTGTATTAAGGTTATTTATGGCCTTGCTTGGATGAAGTCTCGCACCCCATATCGGTCGAGGCCAAGGCACGAAACGCTCTTGCCCCAGCCCCATGAGTTCTTGCTACTCTGCGTAGATCCGCGTGTGCGTAAAACATGCGTGGTTCGAGCTGTGGCGAAACTCTGTGCAAGATCTCTTGATGCGATCGCTGATTGGTAGATAATCATGTTTTTACGAGTGCTGGTTGGCTGAATCATCTCGTAAACCGTAACCACAAAGGAGTGGATATATCCATATGATTTTTGACGTCGGATGGTGATGTGTGCTGCACGCCATAGAGGGGGACTCGATCGATCGTCGCCAAGCTGCGCATTATAGACGCCCCAAGCTGGACGTTGCAGGCCGCGCAGTTATATAGGCTTATAAGAGTATGATATGGAAGGCTTGCTTCATTCACATGCTTCACCGCTGCGTGGGTGCTTCGGAGAAGCCAACGTCGTCGTCGCTTCCGCGACCGCTCGGCTGCGCGGGGCTACCATGTGTTCTGGCCGCATGTTTGGCATGCGGCGCGCCTGATTCGTCTTGGAATTTGTATGTCAATGTCTAGAATGACGACCACCGTTCGATGTTGAATCTTGGGCTGCGATGGTAGGAAGCCGATACCCATCCCCGTGCACTGCATGGTGCGTGGCGGTCGACTGGATCGTGGCTCGTTTCGACGCGCACCGACCATGGACCAGGGCACGCGACGACGACTCGTCGACGATGTGACCTGCCCAAGCAAGCGCCATCGCCACGATGCAGATGCCATCGATTCTCCATAGCAAGCAAAACACACAGCTCCATCCACCGCCATGGTCTCCGCGGCATGCAGCTCAAGCCATGCCTGCGTCGCAACCGCTCGACGGCATGTGGGTGTTAATTTGGTCAACTACGGTATGTACACGGCAACTGTGACCAGCAGCGCGCGCATACAAATCTCGAGACTAATTCACGTTTGAGTGACTCTCTTCTCGTGTCAGTGGGACGTGTCGTGTCATCGTGCGCAAGCTGAACAATGTACAGCGCTACTCCGCAGGCGCTTGGCAGTGACGGCGGTCTGGGCGGCTACTTTGGCACGGCATGGAAGATGTGGCTCTTCTCCTGGTCACGCCGTGGCTGGCGGCTTGTCGCGCGACCGACCTTTGCCCAGTGTGCGCGACGGAGGAAGGAGACGCAGTCTAGGAGGCATGCGGATAGTCTTTGTGAAGCTCTGGTATACGCAGTGCTGAAAGGCTGAGTTGTCTCTGTAGCGATGGTGGGTTCACGACGCGCATGCGAGGCCATGCCGTACCGCACTCTGCCGTGCTCACACACCAGCGTGCATCGATGCAACGAAGGAGTTTCTCTTCTCAGGGCTAGGGTGCTACACGAGGTAGCCACAACTCTAGGGCCACACAACTCAATTGGGCCTCGCCTGCACAACGACCACGTCTATGAAGGCCTGCTTTTCTCTTCTTCTCGCTTCCGTTCTCGCCACGCAGGCCGTCACCAAGATGGCATTCGCCAAGCCCACGCCGGACGACACGCGCCGCCTCGACATGGAGATCGCCAAGCCAACACCCGATGACACCCGCCGACTCGAGATGGCGATCGCCAAGCCAACACCCGATGACACCCGCCGCCTCGACATGGAGATCGCCAAGCCGACGCCCGATGACACGCGCCGCCTCGATACGGCCACCGGCAACTTGCGCGGCTAAGGAGCAGTAGTGCCGTTGTTGCATCTCTATCTGCTTGTCTCGTGTGCTGTATTAATCATGGCTGCTTTCGACATGACTACATGATTTTAGTTCTGGAGCATGCGTTCGTGTTTTGTTGGTTTATGCTGCAGGAAGACTATACAAGTCCCCTGGGCCTCGCTTCATATGTACGCTGCAGGATCTCCTCACGCATTACCCAGTCGACTAAAACATGCTTGGGCGACGCGGTACGGATGTCACTGATAGCCCGGCCAATAAAAATGACGTTGCTCAGAATGAGTCCCAACGCGGGTCGTTTCCAATTCCACCGGTTGAAGCAGTGCGGGTGTACTACTGCGGGACTGGGATTGAAAGCAAGGGCTTCTGCGACCGAACGTCTGCTTTCTACTGCTAAAGTCTCCTTGCCTTCTTCAACGAGAAGCACACGCGCCTTGCCTCCCACCACCCACGAATCTAATACGTGACTACTTTAGCGAATTTCCCGCCAAACTAACGTCCAGGTGGCGCCACCACTTGCCGATGCAACGACCCAATTCCCTTATGTAGTGCGGCGTCGTTGCACACCACCTTGCGAGCGATCGGCTTGGGCCATTCCGAAGCGTTTCTCGCGCTTCCAACTCAGTCACCGCACGAAGATAGATGAGCTTCAATGATGTCCACAATCGTCACCATCTGCGCTGCCGACCAGATCGCTCCAACCTCCTACAACTAAGATCGCTACTGTATGTCGAGTGCACTTGGTTGCTAGATACTGCGGCGCGTTGCGGTTGCCATTCGACGTCGGCGGGTCACGCGCTACGAGCGACGCAGCGTCTGCATGCTCATTTGCGATTTGGCCAACGACACCAAGCATGCGCTACCCCAACCGCAGCCGATGGACGCACGCCGAAGAAGTCTTCCTCTACCACCTCGTGCACTGCTTCCTCAAGGGCATTCTCGAAGACCACGCGCACGACCTCCCTCTCCGCCAGTACGTCGCCCACGAGCTGCAATGCGACCCCATGCGCATCTCCAAGCGCCTCAACGAGAGCCGATCGCTCCTCGGCCGACGCATCTCGCGCAATTTCAACCGCGTCTACTACAAGCCAGCGACCGACTTTACACAGACGGACATTGACGCGCTCTTTGAGCTCAAGTGCGCTCGCAACGACTTTGAGGTCGCTCTCAAGCGCAAGCAGGCGGGTCGTCGCGGTCGGAAGAAGGCGCCGGCGCGCAAGTTCCTCTCCATCTCGGAGATGACGTCAACCGACGAAGAGAGTGGCGACGACACCAGCAGCACTGGCAGCTGGACAGAGGTGGTCATGTAGTGATATGTACAGCTAATCTGTGTTGTGTCAAAATTGCTCCTGTTGAAAGAAACAGAGTGGCAACAATATGTCCTATAAAACGAATCCAAAAGGATCATGCGAGATCCGCCAAGGGTATGAGCTGGAGGGATGTATAGACTGTCAAATAATGTGGACTTCTATCGAGAAGGCGAGCTCTCGTCGCTGCTAGTTGCGGGTTGTCGGCGGTACACAGATTCAAACACACACAGCGAAATGATGTGCAGGCTTACGAGCGACAACCCATCGCGGTCCCCACGAGATAGAAATACCTTTTAATAGCGCGCGCGCCTTGGACGGTATCGACGCGACTCGTTCAGCGTATTCGACGAGTGATTTCTGGTCTATTAGCCTTGGACCACAAAGATACTACCGATCTGTCCTCCTCCGTTGTGGCATACAATTATGTACGTGCGCATGAGAGTTACCTGTACTGTCGCAGAAGAAACGTTGCGTTTGGCTTCATTGAGTATTGCGGCGTTCATGCGGATTGTCCCTTGCAACGCTTCGACATGCAAGTGGTCGCGAAGAAGACTCATGTTCAATCTCCCTTTTCCCACCGTGTGATTTGTGATATACATATGTATGTATCAATATATCATGTGCTACTCACGTGATGCGTTGTACCATCTGGTCTAACCCCAAACCGAAAACGAGACTTCCGCAACAGAGATCTCGGACGCTGTGAGATGTGAGTTGGCAAACGAACTTGGTCGCGGTACGTCGTGGCGAAGACACCGACCGTTGTGGCCTCCTACTAATGCGCTGTGTAATGCGAGTGGCCAACCAAACAAAGCTGCCACGGAGAGCCCACACAAGACGAGACTGGTCGCTGCATTGGGATGTAGACGCGGTTGTTGTGGCTAGAGTCAATGGAAACGCAAAATCTCGAATGAAAGTCGCGTCTAGACGTATACGCACACTGTACATGCAATTTCGAGTGAAGCCGATGTTTAAACTAGCAATGCCCTTGGATCTCCAGGAAGGGATTTGACGTGGAAGAATCGAAAGCAATTCGGTTGTCATACCGGTAATGAGGAGAGATAGGGTGACGTCGCTTATCTCTCGGAGCCCACGCGCGATTGGCTCGTGAGCAAACGAGAGCACGAAAATGGTCTTACCATAACAATACCAAGGTGAAAAGTACGGACGCACCAAGCATAAATCAATTGTCTGCCTGCTTTTGAGATTTTGGCTTGTCGAAATATTTGTGTGAATCATCCCATGCTTGCATACACCCAAACTCTACGCCGAGCAGCAGCGAGTTGAACGCGCGGGTTGCGACAATGTGTGTGCTGCATAGACCAAGTGCGTGGCATAAAAACGTCGCGGTGCTTTTTTGCGGCTGTCGGTTTTCAGTGTTCGTCTTGGTTTGGCAGCGCGGTTTTACCGCCGACAAAGGAACGCGAGCAACGATGTGATACGTATCCTCACTACTACTGTACATGCTTTTTGTGCTCAAGGCTCAATGGACTCCGAGTCGGCAGCTGTCTAGCGTTGTGAATCGTTGGTTGAATGAGGTGCTGCCAGTTGGATCTCACTTTCTCAGTTGGAACAATGCATGTGCAAGCATGTGCAACCCGTGCATAAAAGCGTTCGGAAACAGAATTGGACATGTTTCTGTCTCCAAGCACGTTGCAGTACCGCCCACGGCAAAGCACTGCATTTCTAGCAGCCTCGCCGCACCGGCGTTGCACTCGAAGCTTGGTCCCAACAACCATCTCAGAGTGCTGAAGACCCGCAGTCACACAAGGCAAGGCCGTCTACCTTATGCCACCCCCGATATACCCCGATGAAGCTCAACTAACGTTCTCCCAGTGGTAGCACGCCGGCATCAGCATGCGACCTTTGACGTCACAGACCAGCTACTAGGCAAGACACCGCTGCCAAGCCAACGACAAACGATCGGGTTATCGGTGTGGTTACGTTCATGGCAACAAGGTACTAGTACGCTAGCTATACTCGTGGTAGTGTAGCTCGAATGGTGTGGCCCGCGACCCGCCTAACGCCTGCACGTAGAGCCCCGCGTCCCGGGCGATGATGAACGAGATGGTGAGCGCATTCCGTTTGAACCTACCGGTATCGCGAAGAAGCTTAGACGACATGCGTCGTAGGCAATGACGCTAGCTTTTCACGGCGGCGACGAAGGCGCTAGACACCCCAAGGAAGCGCAGGACGCGACGACAAGTGCATGATGGTCACAGGCAACGATCCCCAAATGGACAAGGGCTTTTGATAGGCTGCGAAACGAGTGGGCCGCACGCTACAGTGCTCGAAATAGTTCGAGAGCAGAAAAAAGCAATATATAAGACCGGGCTAAAACGTAAAACGCAATAAAACGTAGATGTAGGTAAAACACTGGGAGCGAGAAGATCAGATTCTGGCGGCGACAGAAGCGCCTCCCCCTTATTGAGAACACACCCAAGTACCGACTCGTCTTGGTCCTGATTCGCAGACGCCCCAATGAAATCGCGCAACAAACTCTGACAGGACCGTTTGACCGGGTTGCACACATACGTTAAAGCTGGTAAAAACTCGGCACAGGTGCGTTAAACCACTCCGAACGGCAATTTACTGTCTTGGCTTCGCTGTTGACTGCAGAGGCCCCAGACCCTCCAATCACATAATCCTGGACTGCCTTCATCGCGCCAGTCTCGTAAACCAATCAGACGTGGCCGCGTTGACCCAATTGAGCCAATTGTGTCCTCTTTGAGAAGGGGTTGAGCATGAAGAGTTTTGTGATTAAGGAGTTTGTATGTAAGGTCGCTCAAATCTCAAACTCAATTCGTTGCTCGAAACGGGCCTTGCTTCCGGCTAGCACAACCAGGTTGGTTTCGTTCGAGTGTCGCACTCGATAGAGGCACGAACGAACGTCCGACCATTATCGTCGCACGGCCACCATGACGACACCGCTCGCAGCCAGCGAAGCCATAGTGTTTGATGAGTCGTCGGACAGCGCTACGACGAGTCGTTCGACCTCAATCGACAACAGCGCTCATCCAGCGGTTGAGAGCAGTCTGAGGCAGAAGCCCCGTCGCAAGGCGTCGATTGTCGGCTATGGCCCCTGGACACCCGAAGAGCACGAGCGATTCCTCCTCGGCATTCAACTCCATCCCGAGGGACCGTGGAAGGCTGTCGCCGACGTCGTCCAAACCCGCAGCGCCAAACAAGCGCAGACGCATATGCAGAAGTGCAAAGAGAAGATCCTTCGCCACCATCGGCGCCGCGACGAAGCCCTACGAGACGTGATTGAGGAGACTGCAGACGACGTGATCCGACTCACGGCTGCGACAGCAGCCGCTGCGGTTCCTCCCATTGTCTTGCAACGGTCCAAGCACGCTGACAACCTGCGTCTTCGCGTTCTCGAGCCCATTCCGTTTGAAACGCCTCTCGAGATGGTGCAGAGCGCGCTACCAGGAAAGCCCCGCAGTATATCGTGGCCAGACGCTGTCGACTACTTTTGGTCGCTCGTGACCGCAAGCGAGCTGCAGTGACTGAAGCTATTCATATCAATCCAAACATAAGGTTTCTCAAAGTCAATAATCTAACGTTAAAACAACGATTTCTACCCGGTACTGAGTTGTGATAAACGATTGAAAAGACAATTCTGGGCGCGATACTCTATCCAAGGTGCCTCGACTTGCACTGTCATGTACAGCCGGTGGTGTAGTGACAAGCGTAATGTCGAAACAGCAGCGCGGGCTAGCCGCGCGCTGTGCGTTGCGCAACCGACGAAAGTCGAAGCACGGCATATCAATTCAGTGTTTTAGACCTGAGATTCAAAAGATGGTGCTCGGGTCCAAAACAATGCCCATCGCAAACGAGAAACGGTTAACGTTAGGAGGACGGCAAGCGTACCAGCAAATAGCAATTTGGTACGATATTAATAGCCGTGGCCTTCCTCGACGACCCAATGTGCATCCAGGTTCATTTTTGTATCTCTAAGCTGGACCACGATTCAAGACGGCTGGTCGGCTCACATTCCCACGTCCTGGATTCGCCCTTCGCGAATAACGCGTGCCGCAGAGTGCGTCGCATCGCAAAGCACGCACGACGACCCACTGCTCTATGGAATGACTACAATACTGGCTTTGTTTTATGTTTGCGGGTAAATGTATAGAATACGTGTAGATTGGCCAGCAAGGCTCTCGTTCGTCAGCATTTCATCGTTCCGACGGGGGCGTGAAGACGTATATTTGACTGCTACACTTCATGGAATACTGTTGACACCTGCGAGGCGAATGTTCTTCCCGGTGTTGATCAATCGCGTTGCATAGCCGTGGTGCCTCAAGCTGACGTTAGTGTTTCGCAGCTGGGAGCTAGCGGTTCACTTGGCTCGAGACCACCTGGACCTGGACCCATGACCTGGACCGACACCGCGAGGCCAGTCGCTCCACCTAAAACAGTAGGACCCGGATGGCAAGTCCAGCGAATCACGCCACCCATTCCTAGTGGCCAGTGAGAACAACTCGAACTGACGTTGCTGGGTTTTTAAAGCGTTATATAGGTTTATGTACTTTAGCAGCTTCAAAACGCTTCGACTCTGGCTTTAACGCGGCGACCAAACACGTTTAAACGCTCACATAATCCATTGGTTCTGGTCCCCCACCCCCTCTCGTAATCAATTCTATGCACCTCAAACACAATTCAACTCAGAGACTTGACTGCAACCCAGTATGGTCGATGACGTCGTTCGATGATTGTGGAACTCGTGTATGTTAGAACCAAGTGTCAAGGCTCAATTGAGTTTTGGCTTTCTCAAATCGAATCCATGGCACGCAAAAAGGCGTTTCTTTGCTGCCAGACGTGCATGCGGCGTTGCGCGTGTCTGCGCGACCATAGATACGCATTCGAAGCGTACATTTCCCAATTTGCCATGCCCAGCGTCGACGGGGCCACGTCGCCATGCACGGACAACGAAGACGACACGACGATGGACGTTGCCTTGACGCTGACCAAGGGCCGCCGGCGCAACAGCAAGTCCGACACCAACGCCCACGGCCCCTGGACTCCCGAAGAGCACGAGCGTTTTCTTCTTGGCATCCAGTTGCACCCGGAAGGTCCTTGGAAAGCCGTCGCCGACGTCATCCAGACGCGCAATGCCAAGCAGGCGCAGACGCACATGCAAAAGTGCAAAGAGAAGATTCTTCGGCAGCGGCGGCGGCGCGACGAAGTGCTGCGCGACGTCATCCAAGCGTCGGACGACGATGCGATTCGGCTCGTGGCCGCGTCCGCGACCGCAACGCCGATCACGCTGCATCGTTCCAAGCACGCCGAAAACTTGCGCCTCGCGGCGCTCGAGCCGCTACCACTCGACACGACGACGCCTGCTGCTGCCGTCACGAGTGCGCTCGGCACACACAAGGTGACGTGGACCGAGGCCGTCGACTATTTTTGGCAACTCGTCTCGACGGGCGACGAGCGCGTCGTATAGCGTAACATCCACAGACCTCTTTAACTTATGAGTATTCTTGCATCTTGGATTTCAAGGCGCGATACGCCGTGCAGTATTTTCCCCGGTTGCACAGTCACACTATTTTGTAGTTGCAGCCAATATGAGTTGCAGCAAACCCTGGTGCACTTGAAGCCGCGCGTTACAAAGACACGCGCGCACCCATGAACCACTGTGGATAACGTCAGACCACGGTGTTGGCCAAACACTTGGCGATTGGCGCGTGATACCGTTGCTATAGGCACGGTACGCAGCCTCATTCTTCTCTCCGCGCCCTATACTAGCGTGGACGCCGAGTCTGCGCCTGGTCACTCGACTACGGAACATCATGGTGAACGAAAATCTATTTTTGCGGCTTCGATCACGACAAACGAACGACCAGTCCGAACTCGGTTGAAGCTTCTACCGTTGTTTCACCACTACGCACGGCCAACGCTTGCGCTCGCCATGCAAGTGCAGTCGAGCTAAGCGTCCGCCATCGAGTCGATCGAGACGACGCTCAAGTGACCAAACATGGTCACGTTCACATCGAGCGCGACCGTGAGCGTCTTGGCCGGCGCCGTCACATTGAGAAAGCTGCCGTCGGATCGCTGCAACGTCCACGCTGCTGTCGGGCACATGGGCGCCGCGGGTGTCGTTTCTCCACTGCTGCGCATCGCACCGCGCATCAAGCCCTTCGCCATCGAAGCGCGCATGCGACCACCAAGAAGCGTCGCGGGCCGGCTCCACCACGCATCGTCGTCGTTGGTCGTCGCCACATTCGACAAGTGAAATTCGCAAGACACTGCGTCAATGACCGTCGTCGCGTAGTCGCCCTGCGGCAGCGTCTTCATGAAGCCAGCGACCGATGCGTTGAGCTGCTTGACGTAGCGGCGGTACGCCGTCGGAACGGT